TAAGAAACCAACCTATCAACGGATGATAGATGAATATGAAGACCATGTGAGAGCATACCCTATAGGTAACGAAGAATACACTTTAGGGCTAGAAAGAGCGGTTCACGAGGATCATGCATATAAAGGAAAATTTGTTGGACTACATATGTGATATTAGGACGAGTGAAGGTTAGTATTGCAGCGCCCCTGCAAGGCTTTGATATAAGGTAGGATCAGAAACAGGCTTTCCTAACGGTGAAAGCTTTCACTTAGTGTCCGTCGGAGTGCTACAAGGATTGCATGTTTCTATGTCAGCATGAGCAAGAATCGCTTTGGCAAAGGAGGTCTGGGACAGAAATAGGCTATTTGCATGGCGAGTGGTAGCAATGCCAAGGAAGAACGAGAGGGGACCAAAGTCAGTCATATAGAACCTGGAAGAGAGACGCTCAATGACCCTGGTAATAAGAGAAGAATAGGAGGTTGTGAGAATGATATCATCAACATAGAGGAGAAAGTAGATGGTCTTTGAACCAGAGTGATAAGTAAAGAGAGAGTTATCTAAGTGACTACTACGAAAGCCAATAGAAGAGATGTAGATAGCAAAACGGTGATACCAGGCTCGAGGAGCCTGCTTGAGTCCATACAAAGCTTTACGAAGGTGACAGACATGGTCAAGTAATTGAGAATGAACATAACTGGGAGGTTGTTTCATAAATACCTCATCGGTAAGATCACCATGGAGGAATGCATTTTTGACATCTAGTTGATGAATTGGACAACGACGAGAAACGACAATGTATGGTGGCAGGTTTGACAATCGGGCTGAAGGTGTCATCAAAGTCTAGACCAGGTTGTTGATAGAAACCTTGTGAAACCAAACGATCCTTATACCGTTCTAAGAGAGCATGACTGTCAAACTTGTGACGTTATAACCAATGGCAACCAACAATGTTGGCATGTGGAGGTCGTGGAACAAGATCCCATGTGTGATTGGAAGAGAGAGTAGCCATTTCAGAGTCCATGGCATCCTTCCAATTAGAGTCACACATTGCCTGAGCATTGGAGCGAGGAATAGGAGAGAATACGGAAGAGGAAAAAGATTGAGGATCTGACGAGGCTTTAGAGACCCCATGTGAGATCGTGTAACCATAGTATGACCAATAGGAGCTGTAGGAGAGGGAGGGAAAGGTTCGGTCACCAAAGAGAAAGCAGATGGTGTTGGAGTGTCAGGGACTGGTGATTCGGTAAAGGTGACATAGGGGGAGTAGGTAGAGATATGGGAACAAAATCCTCCTCAGATACGAAGATATTATAGTTTGAAGTGGAGGGAGGAGCTAGAAAGTCTGAAAAAGGAAAATGATCTTCATCAAAGAAAACATGTCATGAGATAATGACTTTCTGTGTGATGAGATCCAGACATCTATACCCACGATGGTCGGGAGACAATCCAAGATATATACATGAAGACGAGCAAGGTGCTAGTTTATGAGCAACCGTGGAAGAGGTCTTAGAATAACATAAGCAAAGACCATAAGATACGAGTAAGAGGGGAAGAAATCGAAAAGCATTTCAAACAGTGTTTTGAATGAGAGGGTAGAGGTAGGTTGAAGATTTAAGGTATGAATGGAAGTGAGGAGAGCTTCAGTCCAAAACTTGCATGGAAGAGATGCCCGAAACAGGTAAGCACGAATGGTGTTGTTTATGGTGAGAATGGTGTGTTCAAATTTTCCATTTTGTTGAGATGTGTAAGGACAGGAAAAACGAATTTTAATACCAAGAGTTGAAAAATTAAAGTAAGGTTTGGTTATTAAATTTGCATCCATTATCACATTGGAAAAGTTGAATGTCATTTTTAAATTGGTTTAGCACATACGCATGAAAAATCTTGAAGACAAAAAAATATCAGATCTAGCACGTAAATGAAACACCCACAAGAAATGAGAATAATCATCCAAAAATAAGATATAATATTTCTAACCACTAATGCTCACAACTAGAGAAGTTCATAAATCTGAATGAATTAACTCAAATAAACAAGAGGTTTTTGAAGTAGAAGGAAAAAAAGATAAGCGACAATATTTGCCAAGTTGACATGTATGACATATGGACAACTTATTTGCAGTACTAGAAATAAATTTGCGAGACTATAAAAAACTTAAGAACGGAAGAACTAGGGTGGCCAAGACATCGATGCCAGGTAGGAAGCGACACGGAGGTACGAGTAGTGGCAGAGAGGGAAATTGTGGAAGACGGAAGAATCGGGTACAAATCATCAGCACCGTCACATCGTTGAATAATAGTACCTGATTTTAAATCCTTGACAGAAAAATCGAAAGTGTCGAATTCAACAGAAACAAAGTTGTCTGTGGTGAAACTGACGAATCGACACGAGATTTTTAATCATTTAGTCAGAAATGAGAACATTATTTAAAGCAAGACGATCGTTGGAGTGAGGAAAAAAGTTTGGCCAATATTATTAACTGGCAGTAGAGCACCATTATCAACCACTATGGATTTAGAATTACAAGGTGATAGAGAAAACATGTTACCTTGATTGAAGGACATGTGCAAGCTTGCTCCGGAATCCATGTAGTAGTTGTTGTATTGTGGTTGCTAAACAAACATAGACTGGAACACCGAGGCAAGATCGGTAAATTGTGAGGGACTTGGTTGAGTTGCTACATGACCCCCAAATGATGATTAAGCCGAAGAGGGTTGTGGGGCCGGAGAAGTGGGCTGAAATTGCCAATAATTGGGTTGTCCAAGTTGAGCCGTAGAAGGTGCTGGCGCGAGAAACTATGGTTGTTGGGACGTAGGTGACATCATGAACTGAGGTGGATTGAAAGTAGGCGCTGTCACAAAGGAGTTGGTGGCGTGTTGTTCATGTGGGACCGAACCGTGACTGATTCCGGTGTTACTAAAGTATGCTTGACCATTACCCAAAATACCTGCATATTATGGTTGACTTGGAGAAGAATTGTTTGTAAACGGATTAGTAGTAGCGGAAACACTAGAATTACATCCCCCCTTAGAAACACTCTTACTATTGTTTTTGTTTTGATTCCACTTATTTTTCGCTTTTCCGAAATTATGGGAAGAAGAGTTTAGGGCAGCGGTGGTGGAGTAGGTAGAGTCTGTAGTGGGCTCAATGGTTTCTTCCCGAGATTCATGCAACAAAAGCATATTTTGGCTTCTAAAAAATTGGGAAAGGGTTTGGTGTTAGTGATAACATCAACTATACTATGATAAAAAGGTGGTAATTGGCGTAAGATTTGCATGACTAATTCAACATCTTTTATGGGTGAGTCAACATCAGAATCGGTAATAGATGAAGAACCTTTCTTGGTATTTCGAAATTGATATTGAAGTTGGAGAATTATAGACATCTTATTATTCAGAAATTATTCATCCAGTTTATCCCAAAGATCTTTCACGGTGCAATCATCACAAGTAGGGCTGTAAACGAACCGAACGTTCAGTGAACCGTTCATGAACCATTCGGCGGGAAGTTCGTTTATGTTCGTTTATTTAATAAATGAACGAACATGAACTAATTTTTTTGTTCGTTTAGTTAAACCAACGAACATGAACAAGAGTCTCGTTTGTTCATTTATGTTCATGAACGTTCGTTCATTTACCGTTCGTTTACGTTCGTTTATATGTAAAATTTTATTTCTTTACTTTGAATTCAAATAATATTTATTTATGTTCTTTTAGCCTGTTCGTTTATGTTCGTTTAGCTCGTTCGTTTATGTTCGTTTGTTTACGTTCGTTTAACATGTTATTCTTGTTTACCCGGTTCTTCATTTTGTTATGTTATTTTTTAGGAATGAAATGATAAATAATGGTGGATGCTTTTATTATATTTGTATTCGTTCATTTATGTCCATTTACTTTCATTTATGATTGTTCGTTTGACATCTTAATGAGCAAACACAAACAAAACGAACACGAACATACCTGATTGTTTGTGTTCATTTATGTTCGTTCGTTAACATGTTAAACGAACATAAACGAACACAAACACACCTTATTTCTAAATGAACGAACACGAACACAAAGATTTTCGTTCGTTTACCGTTCGTGTTCGTTCTTTTGTTCGGTTAAGTTAAACGAACGAACATGAACAAGCCTATGTTCGTGTTCGTTCGATTTGTTTACTGTCCTAATCAGAAGAAATTATTTGAAGAAGATTAGGATATTGATTTGACACGGGAGTCAATGGATTCTCAATCTTCATCTAATCACCGAATGGTTTTGATGTACCATTATTGTGACCTAGAACCTTAGCACCTTTATACATGTCTTGAAAGATACAATGCCAACGTTTATACTTGGATCCATCAAATAGTAAGCTTAAAATTGGATTGGGAATAAACATTGGTTAAGGCATAAACTAGTTGTTGGGTCGTAGGTGCAACGGCGGAAGAAGGTGTAGGGTTAGTCATGATGTGGGAAGTAGAGGAAAAAACGAGAAAAATAAGTGAAGTGGAAAATAGAAACTTAGGCCAGAAGTACTTATCGCGGGTAGAAAGATTGTAGTGTACGAACTACATTTTGTCGTGTATAACAAAGATGGCCGGCAGCAAAAGTATGTGGGTGAATGGTCTATCGAATTCCTTCTGTTCAATAGAGACTGTATGACCACTGGACCTCTAATCGACGATCTAACTTGTGAAAACATAGATGCAAATGTTACGGACCTACTGTCCGGAAATCAAGACGATCCGACCGTTCAATCTCAGTAATAGGAAAAGTGGTGCGACTGTGCATTGCCCAAATATGGTCTGCTAAATTCCTTATGTTCGATAGATACTGTACAACCTCCGGACCTCTAATTGACTATCTAACCGGTGAAAGAATAGATCCAAATGTTATGGACCTACTGTCCAAAATCAAGACGATCTGACCGTTTAATCTCCGGAAAAAGCAAAACGGCGCGACTGCACGTTGCCCGAATATGCTGCCGGGGAAAAAAATGTATGAAAAACCTCAAAGACGGAGGCTCAATACCATGTTGGAATACGTGAAAATCCCGTTAGGGTTTGCATATTATTGCTTAGTATATATAGAATACAACGTTACAATAGAGTCCTTATACTATACAGATTAACAAATAGGAGATAAAAAAATGCATGCTTTAACGCAATTAACTAAAGCTTGCATATAGAAGTTGGTTCCAAGTATCGGGCAACCCAGGAACACACCAATGACTGCAGTCTATGCCTGAGCCGCCACCGTAAGACGACGGATGTGCATCCTTCCTTAATTGTGATAGGGTTGTGATATCAAGCAATTGAACTGGATTCTTTACACTCCCCAGAACTCGGTTCAGAACACCTTGAGCTTCAGGTAATCCTGCAGGATATGTTGATCCTAGTAACGGTCGTAGTTCTCCGTTGCAGTTCTTTGATGATGATCCCCACTCCTTTCCCCTAATTCCAAAAGCATTTCAATAATCCTAAGTACCCTTGTTCTTGAAAGAACTTACTTAATGACCATACCCTTTTCGTTGTTTTTTTGTGTAGGGTGTTTCTTTTAAAATATGGTGGATTCTGAAAACCTTTGTTAAAAAAAGGTAATTTGCAAATGGATATTCATAAATAGGGCTGTGGGACCCAAAACCAAAAAGGATCTTATTTTCTCTACCAAAAATTTCTAACTACACGTGACTTTCTCAATTTCTAAGTGTTTTAATAGATTTTTTTATATGACTTAGTTTATAAAACCAAAAAATAAAGTGTTTTATCTAAAGAAGTTGTAATAAGTTTATATGACGTTTTTTTTTGGCTTCTTAATAATCTTTTTAGGACACTTTTATTATAAAACGTCTCATTAGCAATTTTATAGTACACTGTTTGAAAAAATGTCCTATGAAAACAAGTGTTTTATAAAAAGTTGAGTTTATAGAACATTTTCTCAAAAGTGTCCTATAAAGTTGTTAATACGATGTTTTGTATTAAAAATGTTATAAAAAAACTTATTATAACATCCAAAAACGTCATATAAACTTATTACAACGTCTTTAGATGACACGTTTTATATTTTGGTCATATAAATTAAGTCTATAAAGCGATTTATTGGGACGGTTAGAGATTGTGGCCGTCCTATAAACTCAATTTTGTTATAGTGACCCTTCCTATTTTTCAAACAATTTCCAATTATATCCTCTCTTTTTTTACGTTTTTATTTCACATTTATTGTTATAAATTTAATTATTGTAAAATATATAGCTAATATTTCTTTATTACTTTTTATAAACAAATTTATTTAAAAATCTCATAATTTTTAAGAAAATTCTATTAAACAAAAAAAACTGAAAATATTAAATAGATTGCTTTTAAAACTGTAAAATTGTATAAAAAAAACGAAATTTTTAATGAATAATATCAACCGAAAAATTATAAGAAATTATTAAACATAAAAAAATTAAAAATAATAAACATATTTTTAAAAAGTTGTAAAATCACATCAACCAAAAAGTTTGAATATTTAATATTCAGTGTAAAATTGTACAAATATATTAATTGAATACAACAAAATCGGTTTAGGACTAAAGATCACTAAATGTATTACTAAAATTGTTTTATATGATGTAAATTATAAAATCAAACAAATGGTTGGGTTCATATGAGATCAAAGGTTTTTCGTGAAATTCGTAAGATCAATTTATGTTCATTGATCAACTTTATAAGCTAATAATATCATAGAAAGACAGAATAGGATTCTTTATTTCAAAATTGTGCTAAAAAGAGCTTGTTACGATGCTTTATATATCAATTTATTGTAACACATTTACATAATATGTACAGTTATTTGATTTCGTCAACTTAAGTCCTATGTGTAAAACGTTTATCAGGACATTTACACATATTTGATGTCTTATAAATTCGATTTTGTTTAGCTATCTACCATTGTTCACATCTTGTGGTTCCTAACACCGTTGAATGTTCTAAGTTTTATGAGAATCTTGAGGCTTGTTATGACAGTTCCAATTTCTAAATGTCATAATAGACCTCTTTATAAGACTTAGTTTATAAAACCAAAAAAATAAAAACGTCTTATTTAAAGGCGTTGTAATAAGTTTATATGACGTTTTTTGACGTCGTAGTAAGTTTTTTATGACACTTTTAGTATAAAGCATCCCATTAGCAACTTTATAGAACACTATTTGAAAAATTGTCCTATAAAAACAAATGTCCTATAAAAAGTTGAGTTTATAGGACACTTTCCCCAAAGTGTCCTATAAAGTTGTTAATGCGACACTTTGTATTAAAAATGTTCTAAAAAATTTGTTAAGATGTCCAAAAACGTCATATAAACTTATTACAACACCGACGCTTTATATTTTGGTCCTATAAAACGGTCTATTATGACACTTAGAGAATGGAGGTGTCCTATAAACTCAATTTTGTTGCGATGGTTGTTAGATGAAGCACTTACTGATTATGTGAAGGAGAGATCCCTTGAAAGAAGACTTTCGTTTTGGATGGGTTGACATTGAGATCAACCCATCTCGCCCATGTCATCATGCCCTTATAATATGCCTCTAGACGATTCATGTCCTTCAGGATAGTTGATCCATATTGCACATAATCCCATCTGTAAAAACACCAAAATCATATCTCATACGATCGATCAACGTATTGTACGTAAAGGAAAAAGGTTACGGAGACGAATAATACGGTTGTAAGTGTCCCGTATGCGTCCACCAATGCCACGAATTGAAAACCAGCACATCCATCCCTTTCCATGCATTCCCGCCTTGAATCGAATTCAGTTTCAGTACCCGGCCAACGTTTTCCCTTACGATATCGACCAAATACGTTGATCGATACAAGTACAACGTTACTCCGTAATCCTGCACATCGCAAGTGATACAGCTTCAGTCCATTGTTTGTACAAAATGTGATATCATGATTGAATTGAATTTGAAGATTTGAAGGTTAAGAGACATACCTGAAAAGCAAGGGAAGTAAGAGAGTCCCTACTCAGAAAAGTGGTTTTGGATTTGGGTGCAGATGCATGAAGCAAACAAGCCAACGATTGCCACTGATTCTCACTCAGTGAGTCACCGACAAACATCACTTTCTTCCCTCTCCATTTTCTCAACAAATCCAACCCATTAAACCTATATTAATAACCCATTTATATGTCAATGATTTGTTTCATCGAAAACCCCAGATTCTTTACCACTACAACAAAATTTAGTTTATAAGACACCCCAATCTCTAAGTGTCCTAATAGACCTCTTTATAGGACTTAATTTATATGACCAAAAAAATAATGTCCTATCTAAAGATGTTATAATAAGTTTATATTACGTTTTTGGGCGTCTTAACAAATTTTTTAGGACATTTTTAATACAAAGTGTCGCATTAGCAACTTTATAGGATACTTTTGAGAAAACGTCCTATAAACTCATTTTTTTATAGGACACTTATTTTTATAGGACAATTTTTCAAATAGTGTTCTATAAAGTTGATAATGGAACACTTTATATTAAAAATGTCCTAAAAAACTTATTACGACGTCAAAAAACATCATATAAACTTATTACAACACCTTTAGATATGACACTTTATTTTTTTGGTCATATAAACTAAGTTTTATAAAGAGGTCTATCAGGACACTTAGAAATTGGAACTGTCCTATAAATCCGATTTTGTTGTAGTGTGTAGTCTATCACATAGAGACGTGGCCAACCTTTGATGCGACCTAGATCGCAGGCCAAGTCGCTTGCACATCACAAGTCCCTCGTGTATATATGTGACATGAATGTTCTCGTAAAATAGTGATGTTCTCGTTTAAACATATCCCTATATTATATATACATATATATATATATATATATATATAGAGAGAGAGAGAGAGAGAGAGAGAGATGAGCATGGACCTGGGTAAGTTACAGGAGTCTGGTTGCCAAGCATACTTGAGATACTGTGTATCTGAGCGGCCATGTTTAAGGCAATTGAATCCAGAGTCAATGAAGGGGCAGCTTGAAGCTGCATACAGTGGGTAAGAACTGTCAACTACCCATTTTCCCTTGAACAAATTACACCCCAATAACTCTCTTCCTCTTAATGAACCACTGATATTATAAGATGATGACGAAGGTACATGTGTTTTAGCTAAAGTTACAACCAACAGCAGCTGCACTTGAAGAAGAAAGATGGCACCAGTCAACAAAAGGCATCTCCTTTGGGAACCAAAACCCATATCTTTATTGGATTTTGGAGAAGGAAGAGGACTCAGAACTATGCTTAACCAATAATTAGTTCTGTATAGACAAGCTGTCTTTTTGCCCCTTGGTCGCTCATGCCTTTACCCCATTCAGCACTAGATGTATATATAGAACATACATCCGCATGCACACATACATACATACATACATGCTGGCATACATACATATATGAGAAAACGTTAGGAAAGTGATGCATGCATGATACATAGAATATGGCAGATTGAAAAGGATAGAAAGGGAGAGAATTGAAGTTTCATCTGTATGTACTTTTGATTTTGGAAACTTAACTTTTCTTGGATGCACATGAAGTGGGAAATGGAATATATCTTGGAACATATGAATTAACCCAACAACAACCAATACTTGCACTACCAAAATAAAACTAATGCACAAAACGAAGCCCGAAGCAAACCCGAGCCAAGAAGAAACCAACAAAAAACCTCGCCGGGCTGTGCTAGAAAGCACAAGACGGAACCGACACATGAGAACCACATGACAAACACTTACAACCTAACTAAGCCACTAATCTATGTCTCTTTAACTTTGTTGCAAGGTGATGGTTGGAGTAGCCTGGCCACAAACATAGTTGAGACTGAAAACCGAATCAAACGTATTTGGTATATCGAGCAAGATATGAGAGGGTACGAATGATATTTAGAGACCTTCTCATCTCTACCCAAGAGGTAAGATATGGCTTGGAGGTTGTTTGTTTACCTCTTAGTAGTTTCATTAAGAGATAGTATCTGAATCGTTAAGAGGTGAATCTTGTTTGGCAAAAAAAAAGTCTGTCTCTTAATAGTTCTAAAACACTCTGAATGATTTTGTATCATGCGCCTCCCTTAACCATTAAGCGCCCTAATTTCATCGTAAACAATTACCAAATGATAATATTTCATTTTTCCCTATATCATGAGAGCCACTTAATCATTCTGACCATTTAATCATTCTACACCAAACCATTAAGCAACTGCCAAACAATCCCTTACTATCTCTTCTCTCTTTCTTAGATTATCCCTAGTGTGGTCCTTTTCCTTCTCATGAAAGCATATATATTAGATCTGTCTCCCTTTCGTGTGCTAGCTACCTACACCTTTGAGTGCCTCTGCATATGGTCCTCTTGTCCTTCTCAGTTATAGCTTGTGTTCAATTTCCCATGGCTGCTATCGTTGTAGTCTCCCATTAGCTAAACTTCGACCTATTTTACTCATCATATGTTTGAACATCGTCCGTAAGATCACCATTACGTTAATAGATCTATACAAATAAGTACGATGTCTCCGAGCCATCATAACAACAAGATGGTTATATGATGTCTCGCTACGCAATGAGGACGTTGTGAAACATGACCAACTTTAAGATGGTTTTATAGTGAATCTCCAAATGTTATAAGCATGTGATTCAAGGTACGAGTTATGATCTCCCAATGGTTATGGGATTCTTATACGGAGAGAATATGACGAAACACGATAACTTCACAATGGTTTTATGATAGGTCTCGATATTATGTCGACATGTTCGATTTTGAAAAACAAGCAACTTCGAAAAAGTTATTTTAAATTAAATACGAGTGAAAGTTATAGTGTGTAAATGATTACATGATGCTTACACTTTAAAGGACCATAAATTTCCACTATTAAATAGAATAGAAATGACTTTTCTCAAGGTTGCCAATAATGGTGCATACAACTTGCATCAACTTTGGTCATGATGAAGCCAAAAATGAAGTGGTGGCTTGCTTTCATGATTTCACCAGAGTTAATATGCCTGACAAGAAGGTGGGGTGGGGGTGTTTAATACGTTTTTTTTTTTAAGAGGTGTTGAAGTCTAAAGTCTTATTTTACTTATGAGTTATAAGAGATGGTTCTGAAGTTTGAAATCTGGATTGGTAAGATTGTTTGTTTTTACGTCTGAAGTCTGAATTCTGAATTGATCAAACTAGCGTAAAAATATAAAAGATAAATAGTTTTTTTAATAAAAATATAAAAGATGGATAGTCTTTTCCTTACAAATTTCTTCCGGTTCCCAAAATATGAACCATGTGACAAAGGGAGGATTAGGATTAAGAGGTATTAATGGATATATTTACCACTTAAAATTTTAGAGAACATTTAGAGCTTTTAAGTTGTTATTTTAAAAATAAAACAAATGCTCTTAATACCCAAACGTCTAAACGAATCAGACTTCAGAGGTATTAAGAGGTAATTTTGAAAAAACAAACAGACCTTAACTTTTCTCATTGTAACATATTCGGTTAGATTTGGATGATTTCATAGTTATATATATTGGAATCTTCTTCTTTTTTTAAGTTTTTTGAAAAATAATCTAATAAGATTTTGCATATTTTAACATGGTATCATTGTCAATGTCTATCACTGCACTTTATGGATTTGATACTCTGGGACAATATGTACTCGTATAGCCCCCTCTCGACACTCTGGGACAAAATGTGTTTGTCTAGTCTTCATTGGAAAGGATGTGTTAGAGTCTCACATTAACTAGGTATGTATTATTTCACCTCTGTAATTTGTTGAAACCCCTTTTCGCTTCTCAATAGCTTTCTTAAAGATTAATCTAATATGGTTCTATATATATATATATATATATATATATATATATATATATATATATATATATATCCTCTATTTTATATTACACACATCCAATTACGTATAATTTTGCAAATCGTCTTGAATTTAAATCGGGACTGAATTAACATGTCAAAGTGTCGATCTCCAAATCTGGTTTAATTCTCGGGATTTACAAAAATATTCATATGTCCAACGAAAGAATATATGTATAATTTACTAAAAAAAAAAAGAACATGTGTGTCAACAATCCTAATTAAACACGTTAGAATCGAAGCGTTAAATCAAGCAATTGTGTCATACTAAAATGAAAACCTGTATACTAACTACGTATTCAAAACAGAACTCATCTTACGATTCAGAAGAAATTTACAGATCTTTCCAATGATTTAAGTAATAGAGACCGATAAAATGATTTTTATCGATGTTGTTAAGAAAGTTTCTTATAAAACACAGAAATTTTATGTTTTAGTTCTAAAATCTAAAGTGTGAGTTGTCTTTGGGAGATATTAAAGAAGTTGTTTTCTAAGAGGTCCCAAAGCATTAAAGTCGAAGTTAAATTACATAAATAGTTATTGAATTTAAAAATATATATTTAAATAAATAAAAGAAGATTTCTTTATTATATATTTTATAAGAAATCGGAGGAAGACCCGACGATTCTTTTCAGAAAATCGCCATCGAAAGATACACATTATTCTGTATTTTCTATCAAACCAATCATAACCACTAACTACATTCCGCGAAATTGTGCACCACAAATAGGAGCTAATAAAAAAAACCCACAATACCATAGAAAGACATTACAATTCCTAGTGGGAAAAAAAAAACTATTTCCTAAGACGGAAATAAAGATATCAAATTTCTACCAAGATAACTGAAGGTTCCAACCAACAAGAATCCTGATGAACCTAAAAAAAAAAGATAACAGCCCAGCAGAAATTACTTGTTTTTCAAGCCCCTGTTATAGGTTCTATCCATATATGTTATTAAGCTTGATAATTGAAGTCAAGTTGTACCGTAAAGATTATATTTGATTATCATAAGAAAGATAAATCTCTGTTTTTTTTCGGATCGAATTGTCAATGATTTAAAGCAAATAAGCTAAATAGATTGAACAATAAAAATAAATATCATTGTTAAATATTTAAATTATAATATTTTAGGGATGCAAATTATTTTTCACAAAAATAGAAATATTATTGTCACTGAAATAGGATAACAATACATACCTATAGGCTAAGCACTTCGTAAAACGTATTCTCATATTTTGTTTAACCTAAAGTTAAGTAATCTTTCAGCAACTGTGATCTATGTCCCATTTTATCTGAATCACAGAAGGATTCAGTTACATTTGGATGTTATACTTATATTTTCATAAATCATATTTTAATTTTTTATTTTAATCATATCAACTTAAATGATTAGTTTAAAAAATGATTAATTCATATTAAATACTTTGATTAAAAATAATATTAAAACTGTGTAATAATCATTGGCTAAAATGTGACCGTTTATGATCAAGTGTTTATCTATACTATATTATAAAGCATTTGATAAAAACTCTTAAAAACCACTTTTTATACGTAAAGTACTGTTTATTAATGTATATTACTTAAAACTCAAGAATGCAAGTAGATTGTGCATAAGTACAACTTATTAAAGCTGCATATCTGAATTCGTGTAACTAACTGCAGATAAACATAATCAAATACAGAATAAACATCTCATTTTAAATATAAAAAATTTAAAATATAATTAGGATAATCATTGAGTTTTAATAGAATATTTGATTATTATCTTTATAAAATGTTATATTATTAAACAAAAAAAAATTATTTCGTTATTAAACTTAAATTAAATTATAATAAAAAATGAGAACTTTTAAATAGTTGATTTGATATTAACATTGATATTTTTTTTCAAATTTATATTTTATTCAAAAATAAAATCATTATTGCTTTCTTAACAACACATAAAAATCGTATTATAACATCGACAGAGACAAATAATGAAATAAAACATTAAAATCGAGATGTGTTTCGTTGCATTACGCGAGTACTCTTCTAGTACTTTATAATAAGCATTGACTAATAGAAAATTACTTACAATCTTAATCATTTATATGAAATGTTGAATGAAATATAAGTGTTTACAAAATTAAGTATTAAATGATAGAAAATTTAATTTTCATAATTTAAATATATTTAGACGATAATTCATTGATATTCATTTCAATTTCAATACAAGTGGAACATCAAAAATCAGTATTAATTTCAATACAAGTGGAACATCAAAAACCATTATGTCATTGATGTATTCCACAGAAAAAATTGGCCTTGATAGTACATGTCTTATCCTGATAAGCAATATTTAGGGGCCGTTTACTAAACACTTACCCGATAAGCACTTATTGGTAAAATTAAACACTCTCACTTTCTTACCCGATAAGATTTTAGTTCACCAAAACGGCATTAGATGCAACAATTTACCCGGTAAATGTTAACCGTAGTAAGA